ATCTCCACCTTCTGTGAACGTACACGGAGGATGTAAAAATACAATAAAACTGTTACAAAACTTATAAAATCGAAAGGTTTATTAAACTAAATTTACTTGGACGTCAATAAATATTCTGCAACTACATACAACAGAAAGGTAAAACCACTAAAACCAAGGGCCTCGGGATTGATTGATTTTCGTTTGTGCAAATAACAATGAACGTGGAATTTTTAGAACAAATACACAATATTTTAATCAATGTTTGCCCACAGACCAGAAATATGTTTAACAAGACCATCAGAATAGTTTACTTTAAGTACGTCTGTGGTTCCTCCCTCCGGCCTGAGGATCCTCCCGACACATGCCGTTATTACCAACTTTTTACCTCAGCCATTAGCTGTTGCATACAAAGTGCATCTGTCCAGTAGCTCCTGCCACAACACAATAATACAGCCTCTATTCGGAACCGGGTGTCGGACAACTGTAATTTAAACAGGACAACCTGGACCACTCATTACTTCGCAATTTCATGCTTCTTATCTCAAAGTCAGAAGGTCGAAAATTATCAGATAACAGAATAACTATTCTGTCTCAATAACCATTCCTTGCTACGAAGATTTAAGGTCGGTAATTGCATGACAAACTCGAGGCTCCGCTGGTCCAGCCTGTTGGCCCGGGGCCACCTAAGACTACTGCTTATTGTGGTACCCTTGTTTTTTTCTGTAATTGATTTTTAATGGCTTTTAGAGTTGTTAGGATGATTCTTGAAATTCGGATCAAGATGGTTCGATGAGCATATTTGATCCCATTTCATGATAACAGACGGAATAACATAATTCTACTAATCATGATCGCCAATAAAAGAATTTGAGAGGCCAAAAGCTCGAGTCTTCGTTTTTTAATGATTAAATATACTTAGCGATGGATGTCTATTGTGATTCACAAAATAAATAAACGTTATGCTTGCTGTTGTATGTTGCGGTGTAAGCAGTTGATTTTTACGAGCAAATATTATTTTTAAACTGGTCATATTGAACAGAGTACAGGCTCGCTGCAATACTGCCGGGCCTGCAATTGTAGTTAAACGATACGGCTTGAGCTGCATGCGGATAATGACACAAATAGGTTACAAGTATAAGCATAAGTATAGACAAGTACCTTATAGTTAGTACAATACTGTAGACGGCTGGAGACCAGCCAGACCACGTCTATATTATGCTAGCATGTCTTGAATTTGTTGGGTGACTGATGGACGCTTATTGCACTCAAACAACAGCAACAATATTTCTATTAATTCACTAAGAAGTAATTTATTGTTAATTGTTTAGCGAAATTCTCGAGGAGAAACCTTGATTAAAACTATTATGTTTTGTTATAAAACATAAATGCTTAATAGTCTGAATGTAGTGAATTATTATTCTTGATTCCTTGCTAATTGCTGTCAGTGGGTGATTCTATGAGAAACTATGAAACTTTAGCCAGAATATCGAGGCGAACGAATCGATCGAAAGCCAACGTCGTAATAAATCATTCACGAACTTTATATTATTTAGTAAATCATGTTCAATAATCAAGATCTGATTCCGTTTTAATAACTTCAAATTTCGCATTTATTGTACTCAAAGATTGAGAGGCAATTTTGTTTCTTTATAATAAAAAGTTTATAGAGACTTTGACGTAAACATTAAACATGCTAAAAGATTATCATCATTTAGTCAATCGTCGTCATCGGACAGAATGCTCTGACTGATGACTTACATACATTTGTCGATAATCATATCTTTGATACAACGTCTGGTAATGGATTTTATTTTATCTCATTTTGTTTTGAATTTATATTGCTCGGCCATTCTGAATATATTCTTCTGCATTTTGTATTGTGATCAATTAAATTGTTTTTATTACGTATAAGTCTGGGAACTTAATTTACTTCTCGAACAACAAAAACTTTTATCACTCAATCGCCGCCTGTGAGAACTGGCTCCAGGCCTCAAGATTGTGGGTCAGTCGCCATTAAAAAAGTATTTCTGCCAAATTAAGGGCTCCCAAAAATATGCTTCGGTAGCGGCAGAAACAACATCTGATATTACCATGATCACCGACGCTCGACAACCAATTTCGACAACGGACCTTGCTTACGCAAATCTGTCTCGCTTCCTCCTACTAGTTTCACTGCAAAAGAGCGAGATAGAATTATTTCTTACTGTTTTTATTAAGTTCCTCGGCTCATTTGCATGCACACGCGACGCAAGCGCAGCTCTCCGTGTTCGGGGTTAATAAGACGATATATAAATACGATAACAGCGTAACAGCCTGTTGGATTCCTATTGACATTTTGTTAATATGTCTGTTCGTGTATTATCATTATATGGTGCGCTGTTTTATCGATTTACAAATTTTCCGTCGGTAGATATTTATTAAAAAATGTTATCTCTTAATGTTTGCTCAGACAACTTGTCGTGGTTTTGTTCCAAACTTCTGGTGTCCTGTAATGAAGTTCAATCATGATGAAGAGCTAAACCCGTCGGAATCTAGGCTGATGAAGCTAATGTCTCGACCATGACAAGAAACGTCTTCTATCTCTACGGCACAATATCTGTTTTTTCTTCAGAGTGATCGCATATCGCAATAAAGGAAACAAATTGTAAGTTCTTGTGTGTCCTGAGTTATGGCGGTCTATCGTATATCTTCCACTTCAATCTAACCTGTTTTTCCGATTCCACGGAAGTATCCGATAAACAAATAAATTATTGTATTGTATTAATAACTAAACAAATAACAAGCAGTTCAGCTGCTGGAGATTCAATGAGCTACAAATCATCGGAGCCCACAATAGAGCTGCGCCCTACGTCGGTCGCATCGACTCGATACTATCGATAATTGCGAGATAAACTCGACTATGTAATTAGGGATGCTCTGCAAACATAAGCTTTACGTGTAGGTAGTAGATAATTTCATGGCATGCAATGATTATAATGGTTTATTGGTACTTGATAAGAAACTTTGTAACTGGAATATAATAGGCCCAAATTAACCCACTAATTTCACTCAGATTGAATTAATTAGATATCATAATATTGAAACAGACATTTTACGAAAAATAGTCTGAGATTAAATAATTTCTTTTCACAATTTCAGAAAGCATGAGTAAATAAAACAGATGATTGGAAGCAGCTCACATAATCACATGTTAGACTTTTACAAGCGTGTCACGCACTCATTAAACAGTCATTAATGCAAACAATAAAACCTGTTCAAATCTCACCTTTTTGCTCACACCGTAACAGTAAAACAAAAGTCACACCCACGCCACGTCGCGGTAGAAATAGAAAGTGTGGAGCAATGTGGAGCACTATTGCGTGGTACACCATCAGATGTACTGGGAGTACTGGAGGTAGATAGGTAATGATAGACCTTTCTGGTAAAGATTGAAGGGCTATGGTGCTAGTAGTGATAAAAGTTATAAGTCATTGTGCTAGAACAGTGCTAGGTTGTCTTAATGAGTAATATCCTGATATATTGATATAAACAATGTCCTGATGATAATGCATACGCGACTGTTTTTCAAACAGCATTCGTACTAGAATATTACTACTAAAAAAAATGTATTTGCATAGGTAGTATGTATGGACAAATGGAACCTTATTTAGAATGAGATTTAAAAGTTTAATGTCAATAAAGTATTAGAATATCAGATTTTGCCGATTCTAGAGTCTGTATTACCTTGATGGGACTAAAACCTGTGATAGATAAACAATAGCCCGGTGTTGATGCAGTTAGAAATCCAAGTACCTATTAATGCGATTATAAGATAAGTCACAGAGTCGGCACAATATGTGATCATTAATCGCGACGGATTCCAGAGCGGGTAATGATGAGCGCAGAGAGTTATTGCTGATAGTATTTACTCTGTACGGTAGTGAGATAGCAGTACAAACATGTTAATATAGGTACCTATGATGTAGCTATTCCATGATTAAGCATTTAGTCTTTAACCCTTCTACGTTTATAGTTTTAAGACGTAAGACAAGAAACCCGCGCTGTGAAAATCCAAACTTATCGCTTTACGGGACTTGAATATAAAAATAAACAAGTACAAATGCATACATTGCTTCATAGAGGCCAACAAATTCTTCTGGCCACTACGACAATTGTAATCAAACATTCGATGGCGTATAAAACATTCTGAAAAACATTTACTGATCTTGTACTTACGAAATGTTGATCGACTTTATTTGTACGAACAACTAACATACACGAATATGGACGACATTCAATATAAGTCGAGAGATTTTCATATTTGCACTGTATTACTACAATCAGATCAGGCGACTGACGCTGTAGTAGGGAGAGTATCAATGTTTACTCGTATTACTAAACAATTTAAAAGCTTCTTGTACTTATAACACGTTATCGTAATCGAGTTTGTTTACTACGACGTTATTTGCAAAGATATGCAAAGTACGGGTCTACGTCCCAGTCCCCGTACACGCTGAGCACATAGTAATTTTCTACAAATTGTTTTACTGTAAACCTATATGGGCGTTTGTACCTAAAATAAGCTGATAACTTAAAACCAGTATGCAGACTGATTAACCCCGTTCGCCAGCTTAATGTTTTCAATTCAAAAGACAATTAAATCGCAAAAGGCATAGCACCAACGTACCATGTGAAGACAATTGAGCGTATAAATCACGTAGCAAAATGCCAGTGCACAATAGCTCGGAGTGAGGTAACTCTGAGGATTGAGTCCGTTGCAGTGCGCTGCGGTACATTGTGCAGGTAATGACAGGCCGTGAGTGATGGCGCCCGACCAGGCAGCGACGTGTAGGTGGGGCTTCAAGACTGTTGCGGTGCACCCAACCCTAGCTATTATAATCGAAATAACTGACGCGACGTGCTAGCCTTCCATTTATAGAGTTAGGGGTGACCTTCAATTGTTTTTGATATTATCTTCACAAACGTTTACGTCATAACATTCTCATGCACTCCCGTAATAAATGTACAACTCCCAACAGCAGCAACATGTCAGCGACCGCCACACGACATGTGAAGTCGTCCAATTCGGCGAACATCCTTATGTGCAAACAATGGTGGAAAGTGTGTTGGATGTACGGCGACCAAGAGAAATACTACAGACAGCTTTATGGCAAACGGAAACTCAACAACATAAATACAACATTCCTAAACTTTGATGAAGCAGACACCAAAAGGCCAGGCGCACAGATCACAGAACTTACAGACGATTTCTTTGAAGATAATTGTTCACAAATAGAACCCGCGCCAGACGAAGTAGACGCTCCGAAAGATACAACTTTTGGAGCAGAGGCCGACGCTGTCTACGGCTTCGATTACCAAACTAAGTGGCAGAAAGACCAAAGAAGACAACCCATACAACAAAGTTACGATGAATACATGAACACTACAGATCTAGACAAAATATTAAATACAAATCTCAACGCGGATAGTATTAAGAGTATGTTAGAAAACGGTCTACCTCAAAGATCTAAAATTATTGATGCAAAGGAAGAAGTGATAAGAAATGGGAATACAGTGGGGAAAAATTCTAGGACAGTTTGTAGGACGAAAAAGGGTGCGTTAGTTACTGAAGAAACTGAGATCTCGACTGACGGTCGGACTTTAGCAAACCTAAAGTTTCAGAGGTCTACAGTAAAGACAGGTCCTAACAAAGTGAAAGAAGTGCTTCAGCCGTTGACGGAGGACAAAGTGTTGGATGAGTGTTCTCGGAAGAAGTGCATCGGAGACAGACTGACGACCACCACCACCACGCTGGTGACCGTGACGCAGACGTCGATGACGTCGTGCAATGAGTGAGTATTACTTGATCATTTTTATTTCATCACACTATAATTATTTACTAGATGCTTTTTCAGCTAAACATTTGTATGTGGATGTAATGAAATCATTAAATCCTGACCAGTACATGAGACATGACATAAAACTCATACAACTCTATGGACAGTATCTGACGCAACTTCCTTTTATTGGCAATTTACTAGGTAATCTAATATCATCACTGACACCTACGCATTAAAGTATAATTTCTCCCACGGTGTATTTTGCCACAAAGCCCCGTTCTGATCGTACCGGCGCAGGCGCAGCCGCACGCAGTTCCGGTAATGACGTTATTGGAATCCGCCATGATTGCGGTCTCGTGGTTTTGGGACATGGCGGGGACGATGAGGATGTACGGTTTCATGGAAATAATTATAGCAAGTATTAAAATTTTAACTCCTAAAACGTGAACATTTTATACGACCAGCTGGCGCATACATATATTATAACTGTGGTCCGTCTGCAACAAAAATAAAAAATAACCTTATATGATAAAATAACATAAATAATCTTATATGACTACTGCTAACTAATAAAATCTACGCCAATTAGCGTAAAATCTTCACAAAGCTGTAGGTAATTTTATTTATATTATCACATGCCACAAAGTAAAAGCCAATAAAAAGCCGCCATCTTGAAATTGACAGCCCGCCATAAAATGAGTTGCTACGTAAAAAAAGATAATTCCATTCAATAAAACAGTAGATTGATATCGTAAGATTTATTACTGCGCGGGACCGATTTAAAACGAACAATGTAATCCAATGCCCCTTAATGTGAACATTTAACTACATGTTGTAGTGTTGCCCTGTAATCGAGGTAATACCTTGAAATCTAATTTACGAAGATCTTTCTTTATAATACTTTAATGACGGTAAATTATGAAAAAATAACCTCTACAACAGTCTTACATTTCTTGAGATATAAAAATAATATTAAGCTGTAGCTGCTGTGTAACTTTGACGCGTGTTTTATTTCACAAGATATAGCCAAATACAATTTGTAAAAGTAAATCAGAAAGATAAACGAAAAACAAAACAATAAAATTATTACTTACGATATATTTTAAAACTGCCGCATATTCTGGTCACTTGGCAGAATACGGTTTACTTACTTTTGCGTTCGCACCAAAAAATAAAAAAAACATAAAGCAAGATGGCGGAGTATGGGAGATGTTATCTGTGGCTACCGTTTACAAGGGCTTTTGTGTCCCTTGTAGTCGTGTACCGACGACACAAGTGATCGATGACTCCTTGTGAACCGTTTTTATTAAATGCTGTCAACTGACAGTGGTTTATTTGTTAACTCACACCTACTGTGATAAAATAATCATTGCATTTGTAAAAGAAGATAAACTATGCTAATGTTTATTTTTATTTATTTATAATTGGAACACGGTTCCGACTTCAATGTAAAACAAGCTTCGCGACAAGTTGTTTATAGAATATAACGTCTATGTTTGACTACGAGATGGTAGAACAAGATTTGATGTGCAATATATAATAGATGTAGTTTTTGTTAAAAATTGTATGTAATATCTATCAGTATGATATCGTACATTAATAAATCTGCCGAAGAAACAGGCTTCCGACGTAATAAGGTCTCTTTTAACAACGTCCTTCCTTAATGACTCACGACGCTGTTTAATTATAGAGCCACTTACGAAATTGCTCATATTATCTATTACCTACTTATGTAAGATTGGATGTAAGACTAGTAGGCATCTAGTTGTGGGTCCTTAATGTTAGAAAATCATATGGGTAGTGAATTAAACAGTCGTCGTCGTGATCAACTGTGTATAAAATAGCAGGTTATGTATAGAAAACTTGTAATTTCTCATAGAGACATGTAAGAATGTGCACAGGAATTACTTGGATGTTATTTAATACACTTTTTTACCTATTTAAGTACGAACAGTCGTCATGATGTAGAGGCAGGATGTCGAAACTAGTTTACTTTAGGTAAATCAAAAGTTATACTGGTGATACCAACAAACAATCAAAGTCCACATGTCACTGTTTTCTTTCTTTTGAGTACTAAAACTTAAGATGTAATAGTTCTCATAGTTTTGTGGCCACACATGTCACATGTCAACGGATGACGTCACAAAAATCCTACATCACACATGTGAAGTTTACATGCGAATTAACACGTATAAAAATCCCAACGAACAAATTTTGGGGGGAGTAAGCCCGCCAGGCATGACCATCTCGCCAGGTCGGAGGATCCTCCTTTTCCGATCTTAGAGAACTATACTCTCTGTTCCCTAAAGTTTAATCAAACGTTATACATTTGTACTGTAATAGTACAGCACAAATGTATAACGTCTGTAACGTGTATAGACACGAAATCAAACCTGGAATGTGTTTTTGATGTGGCATATTCCATGTTTGATCTCGTGTGACTTTAAACCGTTCCTGTTGTTATGCTGTGAGCCCAACACTTCGTGCTCTCACCAACATTTCTTTATAGTTGTACTCGTAGATGGAATAGAAGATTGAGAATTTCTATAGGTACAAAGTTGAAAGATAATCTAAAATGCAAAGAAATTATTCTAAAAACTCATACAAAGTGTATAATTGGTTATAGAAAACAGAAATATTGATAAACACACACTTTAAAACGTTTAGAAAATACATAATGCATGAAATTTCTTGCATTACAAATTAAAATAATCGAATATAAATCATGTATCTTTCTCACTGCGACACAGCAGGGGGCCGAGTGACGTCACGGTATTATATATGTATGTATATGTATGTTAGGAAATGAATCTTGTATCAATAGTATGGGAAATCAATGATGCAATGATTAAATTGATTTTTAAAAAGTAGTGATATAATTTAATTTTAGAATATGGTGCCGAACCAGGTATCAAATCCACCAGAACCAAGGCCCGAGCGTACGGCGCCTCGCGTTCCGCGCGCGCCTTAAGGAGCCATCAGACCACCACAGATACACCAGGCCCAATAGGACTGATGCCGATACGGAGCCGTGGAGAACCTAACGGGTTACCGGAGCTCCGGCTCGGCGTGCAGAAGAAGGAACGGGGTGGTTTTTAGTCAGTAAGAGTCTGACACTCCCTCTCGCCCCGACCTGGGCGGAAGAAATCATTGGATGATTGTCCCACCTGAAAAAAAAAGTATCAAACCCAAAACTATCTAATCTGCAGTCGCTTTTGCCACACACTAGAGCAATAATAATTTTATTAAAAAAATGTCGTGGTGGCCCGGAGGTTTAGGACGCCCGCTTCTCATGCATTCGGACGCGGATTCCTAACCCACCAACGGCAAGTACCAATGTGACTTTTTCCGAGTTATTGTACTTTCAAAGATTATTTAGACACCACTGATAAACAGTGAAAGAAAAACATCATGAGGAAACCTGGGCTTATCATTTCTAAATATAAGTTTGAAATCGCCAACCTGAATTTAGCAAGAGTAGTCATTAATGCTCAAACCTTCTCCGTGTGAGAAGAGGCTTTACTCAGCAGTGGGCACTTATAAGCTGTTGGTGTATGTATGATGTATTAAAATAAAGAGTATTTCAGAACCGATACGACCTTCAAACCTTCAAAAAAGAGCGTATTCCTTTTTAAAAGGCCGGCAACGCACCTGTGACTCCTCTGGTGTTGAGGGTGTCCATGGGCGGCGCTGATCGCTTACCATCAGGTGATCCGTCTGCTCGTTTGTCTAGGAGGCATTTTCCATAAAAAAAGAGTATTCAAAAATTATAGTAGATAGTTTATATCTTACTAACGACCCGCCCCAGCTTCGCAAGGGTGCAATATTATGCGTGTATTATACATATAAACCTACTAAATCACTCTATCTATTAAAAAAACCGCATCAAAATCCGTTGCGTAGTTTTAAAGATCTAAGCATACATAGGGACAGACAGACGGCGGATAGCGACTTTGTTTTATACTATGTAGTGATAGTCATAGTCCTATCCAGGAACTCGATTAAAGCAATATGTCCCTAACATGGCCTCTAGGATATTGAATAATTTTCTATTATACATAACACAACATCAAAAATGATTAACCGGCTTACATGTAGGTATGACCAGATACATGAGGCCAAGGAAGTATGTCAGGATTGTAATAGGATGGTCTACTGTAGGTAGTTTTTGTTATCAGTTATCACTATAGAGCAAAGGGATTAGTTTATGTGTACATAATTTGATAGGTACATGTTCAAATACTCAAACGCCACTTAATTTTAAGACATGCTTAATTATAGTTCTATCACTACAACATGTAGCGGGTTCGATTCCCGCACAGAGCAACACTTTGTGTGATCCACAAATTGTTGTTTCGGGTCTAGTTCTAGGTGTTGTGTGTATGTGAATTTGTATGTTTGAAAACTCACCCACGACACAGAGAAAAATCCTAGTATGGGGCAACGTTTTTATTATAGTAACGTATAGTAAAATTCCAAATTCCTTATCTCAATGATAGCACGAAAGATACCTAAGTATAATCTAAAAATTGAGTAGCCTTTAAGTTTTTGGGCGACAGCCTATCACTTTATGTATTTATGTATCACTTTATATCACTATATATAATGTTAGTTATGTTATAAATCCTATTATAACTAAGAGTGACCCGAATGCCATAGAATCTATAGATAATCCTGGAACAATTTTAGACTCCATGCTAACTGGCTTGTCCTGGTAATCAGAGGTCACCAGTCGAAGGAACAGATAGATGTAGATGAACTATTGCAATTACATATTATCGGAATAAACTTGGAGTAATTTATTACCAACGACGGTGTCCAATTTTGATACCGCGGCGAAGACGACACAGCCAGACTATCTCCCAGTATAGCACGTAGATAAGACAAGTCTGAACTAAGGATTTATGAGACAGTTGATATTGGAACAGCGATCCAAAATATTAATGAGGGGAGATACCATTATTATTACTCCCATCTGTCTAGTCTCACACACTTGACATATTTGGAGGATA